TATATATATATATATATATATATATAGAAAAAATATATAAATTTTTAATTCGATCCTCGCTTTGCGTTTCACTGTGCTATTTGATGATAATATGGAGACTTGTGCAGACGGAAATACAGTGTGCTCCCGCAGAAGTGAAATATTATGCCATTTGTAATATCTGTCGTGACCAATAACTTTGCAGTGCTAATATATATATGTACATAAACGTGTAATGTACATATGTAAAAACACATTAAATATACTACACAAACGCCTATCGTTAAAAATCGGAAAAACAGGCTAATCGCATAACAAATGATGTGTCTGTTGTTACTACCAAGATGAAGAAGTTTACATTATAGAGCTTTGCAGACAGGCAATAATGTGAAAAATATGTCATTATTACCTTGTTTCTCCTGTTTCCTGGAGCCAACAATACAAATGGAAGATACTTTCTATCCATAAACTGCTCGCAGTAAGCATGCTGGTACTGCTCAAAAAAAAAAATAAAGTACAAATAAAAAACGATTTAAAAATGTGCTGCTTTCTTCCCTCTCTTGTATATCTGCACGAGCGCTGCTAGTGTAAATTTTCCTCTGATATCCAAAAGTATTGGAAGACAAATGCAGAAAATCGGTGACTTTAAAAAGAGCATAAAAAAGCTGCTTCAACGATGCAAAATTTTCTGTTGCTAACATAGAAAACAATGTCGCGAGAGAGTAGGAGAAACAGACGGTTACAGAAATTCCGAAACTGCAGAAAACGAGGACGAATTTTGAGCACCAGGTGACTTTTCCGCAGAACGAATTCGGCTCCCCAGCAGATATGCGGTTAAAATTCGTACCTTCTCTTGCCATTTTCAAATTTCTCTGACTGTCTGCTTCTCCTACTCTCTCGCCTTAATAAGCTTCAACGTGAAAGTTGCATTGTACGTACAGTACAGAAGCTTCATTTACGGTATTTTTCAAAAATTCAGGATATCTACACCTATTCGGTGACGAATCTAAAGCATCGAAAACAACCCATAGTAAAGGATGTCCTACAAATAAGGAACGAGAGAAAAACACGGTGGCTCTTCATCATTGTTCATGTTTAGCAAACCTTCAAAACTATATTATCGCAGTTTCTGAAAACGCTTCAAAAACAAAATCAGTTTTTTTCTTGTCACTGCAACAGAAAGGTGCACGCCGACAAGCTAACACGGATGCAGAAAATGATACTGACAACAAACTGCCAAACGTTGTAACAGAAAAAGAACATATTCAAAAACAAATCCGTTCATCAATGCTTCTTCCGGATGACTTCATGACCGCCACACAAAAGAAGCGTTGACAAACCCATTCTGAAAAACACAGACACTACAAAAACTTTTGTGGTGCTTTCATGGCGAAACAGATCACTTCCGAACGTGCAGATAACTCGTCATCCCAAGCCACTGATGATTAACACAAGCTATGCATATAGGTCTGCAACCTCAGCCACCAGATATTCGCCATTGACGCGCATCCTACCAGAAAAGCTCACCTCTAACTGTAAAAAATTCTTTTCTTCCTGATCCTCAACACTCCTCCGTCAAAACCGCACAAAAATTTTCGTCCCTTATAAACATTTTTCTCAACGAACAAAATACTGCGCTATCTGATGATAGTATGACAATATATCCAGGCAGTAATACAGTGCGCTTCAAGAGAGACGAAATATCCTGTAATCTGATGGGAGTATGCAAACTTATCCAGGCAGCAATACAGTGCGCTTTAACAGAGACGAAATATTGTGCTATCTGATGATAGTATGAGAACATATCCAGGCAGTAATACAATGCGCTTTAAAAAAACAAAATATTGCGTAATTTGATGAGAGTACACAAATTTATCTAGGCAGTAATACTGTGCACTTTAAAGAGACGAAACATTGTGCAGTTTGATGAGAGTACACAAAGTGATGTAATTAGTAATACTGTGCGCTCTAAAGAGACGAAACATTGTGCAGTTTGATAAGAGTATGCAAAGCGATCTAGGCAGTAATACAGTGCTTTAAAAAAGACGAAATATTGTGTAATTTAATGAGAGTAAACAAAGTAATCTAGGCAGTAATACTGTGCGCTCTAAAGAGACAAAACATTGTGCAGTTTAATGAGAGTATGCAAAGCGATCTAGGCAGTAATACAATGCGCTTTAAGAAGACGAAATATTGTGCAATTTAATGAGAGTATACAAACTGACATAGGCAGTAATACTGTGCGCTTTAAGAGAGACAAAATATTGTGTAATTTAATGAGAGTATACAAACTGACCTAGGCAGTAATAATGTGCGCTTTAGAGAGACGAAATATTGTGTAATTTGATGAGAGTATACAAACTGATCTAGGAAAGAATACAGTGCGCTTTGAAGGGACGAAAAAAAATCTTGATTTTACAGTTGTAAGTGTTAAAAAGAGAGAGTAAAAATTACCTGTTCTCTTGTAAATGCTGCAAAAGAGTTGAAAATTAGATGTGGAAAAGTTGGTGAAGAACAATGGAGATTAATATTCTAAAAGCTGTTAAGGAGCAGCTGAAAGGACGGTTTGGTTATAATTTTTTTTAAACTTTTTGTTAAGAATTTTTTTTTAAATCATTTATGGTCGCAGTCAACAGTGTTTGTCTGTGATAAGATGATAAAATTTTGTGTTTAATCAAAAATATTATTTCAATCATTTTGTAGGACAGTTACGGAAGAGCAAAGAAAATAAGCATTGGTGTAAGAGTTGATATATACTTCTGAACAAGGGTCATCAGACATTCACACAAAAATGGTTTAGTTTTTTCCAACAAATTTTTATTTTTGTTTGCTTTTATTTTTGTGATTCAGAACTATAATTTTACCAGGAGCAATTAAAAAACGTTTTTCCTATCAGATGTTGTTTAGTAAATGTTATTTTAACGATAATTATTATTAAGCATCAATAAAAAAAAAAGCAACTTCTCAATTGCTCTTTATAAGTCGTCAATATACAGATGATCAATTAGATGTTTCGCATTTTTTTTTACGTTTCTTAAATTGCAAATTAGTTTTCATTCTTTAGGTTTTAAGTGCTGACAGAAGATTTTCAGATTTGAAACCACACCTGTTAGCACTATTTTGATAGTAGAAAAAAATTTTTTTTTACTACTCTACGAAGTTTTTTTACTAAAGCCATTTTAAGGTGCTGCATCCTGATGCTAAAAACATTTTGAAAAAGAAGTTTTTTTGACAAATACTATTTATCCGAACAAAGTAAATTTCATTTTAGTTTGTTCAGTGTACAAGTAACAACAAATTAGATCATGACATCCGATGATAATTTATAACCCACTGCACTAAATCATTCTTCTCGTTTTACTTTTTCGATATACCTTTTGTTCTTGATTCACTGTTGACTGATAGTTGTAAGCTCTCAGAAATGGTCGTTATAAATTGGGTGTCGTCAACATTCTGATTTTTACCAGAAAACAGTGAAGCTGAGCATCTATGCTTCTAGCCGCATATCTTTCCTCTGAAACATCAGTTCTCAGAGGTGACACCTAATTCATAACGTTTGTTTTGACGGTTAAGCAATACTAAAGATGTGTTTTTTTT